AGCAACAAAGCAGCGGATGTTGCTGACTCGCCGGCATAATCTTTTTAGCAAGATATGATCAGATGAAAGCAAGTTCGATGATTGGAACTAAAATTTCATCTGCATAATATACAGAAAAGGGGACCCCTGTCGAGGGATAAGTATATTAAATATTGCACATAAGATTTCATCGAGCGTACTGTGTGAGAGATTTAAGCCCAATGTCACTGTCAACGAACAGTGTGACTCTAGATCTGAGAAATCTGCCATTAACTAAATATTCACCATGCGCCAAGTCTTTGGAAACCTCTCCGAGAAAAGTTAAAGAGAGCTCCAAGCTCGGTTTCAAGTTTTTGCCGCGGTGTCGGAAAACGAAGAATGGAATGATCTGGATTCACGCGGTGACCCCAAATAATAAGAGACTAAAATTTTTGAAGACCTTGAGAACATAAGAATATTAAGGCGTAAACGCTGCGAGCTCACCCTAATATTCACAAATACTCAACAAATTTTCTATTCAGAATAAAAGCGAAACCGCACAGATGCAACTGAATATAAAACCCAACAACTGCACACCACGAATTCCACATGTTGCGATACAAGTATATACCCTGCAGGGCAAAACCAACTAGTTGGTCAATATTCTGGTTAAATACTGGTATGTTGAAGATGAATTCATACCAGTCAGTTATTTGTAAATAAGTTCACCAGTGAGGGGAGAAAGAATATTTTCCCCTACCGTTTGTTGTTGTTATATCGGCACGCTGCTGCTGAATCCCTTATCTGCTCTGCTCTATTGAAGTTCGAGATTACAACATAACGGTAGATTAGGTCTTCACTGTGGTGCGTAAGGGCCTCGGTACAATTCTCGCAGCCGGTAAACTCACTTATATTTTATTTATATTTTTTATTTTTTTTTTTGGGAGTAGAAATTCAACATACCTAAATGAACTAGTATACAACTAGTATGAAGCCGTCTTAAAAATACCAGTTGCTTACATGGAGAATAGACGGAAGATGAAGTAGTTGGTGTAGAAATGCAAACTAGTGATATTCTAGTTGACAAATAGTTTCCTTCCCTGCAGGGTACATACATATACAAACATACAGACGCGCGATGCACGTAACACGTGATTACATGGCTGCCGCATTTCCTCAACACGTCCGCTTTGTGCTGGCAATGAAATCACACCCTTTTCGCATTTTTTGCTTGAATGCACGAGTGCAAATGAAAAGAAATGCACAAAAAGCGAAATGCAAAAAAAATCACACACACAAATTATGGGACTTTGTGAGTTTTCTTTGCAATTTTGATGCCACCGCATGCGAGTCGCACTTTTGCTCTTCAATTTGTGCATTTATTCCTAACCGTTAATTTGGATTCTTATGTTAATACTCTCTTCTTTTTACATACATATGTTTAGTTCGATGCCTCGGGAAGCCGAAAGTAAACATTGATGTGTGCTTTAAGTTGCAGCAGAAGCATGAATATTTTTTCTGGCGAGGTCAGCACTTTGAGCTCGATGTGGGGATGGTAAATATGAGAGCTAAATTTTTTCACCTTCTACTTTGAAGCTTTTACACAAGTTTTCCGCGCTCCGCCAAATCAGGATTCTGAAATTCGCATTTTCGTAGCGTGGATCACCTCCCCTAGTATAACATTAAAGGCAGAGGCTAGGAAGAGAAGGATGGATATGAAAAGTGGCTTTCGCTAGTAGCCACCTGCTTGCACCACCCTGTCACTACGTTGCGAGTAGGATACCATTAAGAAGGTTGCAGCCAAGATCCTATGTAAAGATAGCGAAAAATAGCATTCTACCAGTTTTTGCTCACACGATCTCGGAAGGACTTTAGGACGGTTAAGTTTAATTACAAGATATAAACTTCTTGCGTCACCCGCATAAAAATTTGGGCATGTTACATGGTAGAAATTTACGGAGGGAGGCATGAAGGATGAGTTAGGGCACCGGGCTTTGTCAACACGACTGAGACAATTAAAAGCTTCGGAGTTCAGCGTGCTTTTAAACTTCTTAAAAAAGTCACAAACTAGACTGAATCGCCATCTGGAACCACAAAGGTACATGACATGTATGCTCCTCGTAACCTAAGCTCACCTTCACATGCTCTACTTTTTCTTCATTGGCGTAATAAACGTTTGACGCCAAGTGAAAGCAGCTCACTCTCCACCTTATCGTTCCTTTAGCGTGGGGATCTTCCTCTGCTTCCATCCGGACTGAACTATGTCAATGTCGCCGTATATCTCGTACATCTCAATGCGGTATTTGACGTTCTCAACTCGTGGAGAACCATAAATCTTACACAAAACTCCAAACGTAAACTCATCAGATGTTGCTCAATCTGACGTTTAAGTCGCCAAGCACGATTTTCACATCGCAGTGGGCGCAACACTCATAAGTGCGCTCCAGGCGCTCATAAAAGGTAACCTTGGTCACATCGTCCTTCTCTTCCATCGGGCCAAATCAGAGATGTATTAAAAATTGTGGTTGATGGTGATTGAAGGTGACGGTGTCTGCCTCGCACCACGAACCCGACAAGAAATTTGCGCTCCTTTATATGGCCACTATAGTAAATATCTCAAGAATCTACTCGCCTCTGTCCTTCTCCCGTCCATAGCACTTCTCGGACGGCAGTGAATGCAGCCTTTATTCTTATGAGACATCGCCCAGCTGAGCAGCGGCACCTACCCAATTAAGGAACCGGACATCGCAAGCGCATGCCTTCAAATCGCGGTTGTTAGTTCGTTTGCGGGGGTTGTCGTCAAAAGAGGAATAACTCAACCGAGGCGCACAAAAAGTTTAAATTTTTTACACATTTCTATAGCGAACACTCTTGAACAGACGCCGCCATTTAAACTTCAGCGAACCCTTAAACACAAGAAGTCGGATTGGCTCCACTGAGAATTCTTCTATTTTAGTAAAGGCCCAAGGCTTCACACATTTTTTATGAGGTCAAGATCAGAAGAATGTATCCGTCTTGGCTCTGAGCTCTTTCGTTTCCAACTCTTTTCTCCCATTCGGCGAACATAAAAATCCTCCCTCGTATGTGCTTAGAGTAGATTATGTTGTTGGTATTTTTATATCTTCCCTTAATTCTGTCTCTGTAACTGTCTCAATATCTCCGTCACAAAATAAAAGTGAAAAATATTTTAGTTAAATTGTTATTTCACCAACCAATGACATGTAGACGGCCTACAATGACACATTTGCATTTACATGCATACACACGTGTATGTATGTGTAATCACATGCGATTTGTGACAGTTCAACTTGCTTAAGTGATATTGTATTTGAAGTTAAGCCCGTCAAGCGCTTGACAAGTTGTTAAGCGCACATGAAAAAACATTGTCACAGAAAGGATTGTGAAAAGCCTGTTAACACACACACACATACTCGTACACACATATACCACATATGTATGAACGTTACATATGTAAATATGCATGAGTTATGATTTAAATACTCTCGCGTAGAAGAATGTGCTTGAGAGCTTTGGGTGGTTGATAAAATCTCCTTCCAACGCGAAAAGAAAAGCACACAAAGGATTTTGATAACCAACATGGGTATACGTCCCGACATCAAAATCGTGTTCCAGTGTGGGCAAAGAGGTTATTTATAGTAGGAAGTCTGTAAGTAAGCGACTGTTGTAAGAATAATCTTCCGATTTCTGCTACTGTGCCCTCAGCGCACAACTAGGATGCGGAAGCAAGCCTTGTGCGAGATGTGAAGCCCTTGATCACGGCCAAAGGAGCGAGAGAGCTTACCGACATATTCGGTTTGAGGGTTCACTAGAGTCTTTTAGCGGTAGTCGTTCTCTCAAGGTGCGACTGCTAGTGGATGCCGTTTTTTAGGTAAGCGGTGCGGTTCACGTAGTAAGTAGCTGCAATGAAAAAGAAAAGAACAATGGACGCGGAAGACAGATCATCGCTTTTGACAATGATCCCTGCAAACATTTTACGAATTACGGTTTAAAATCATGCAGCTGAAATGCTAAGAAGTAAATGGCGCTGCCACCCAGCTGGTTGATGTCCTCGTAAGACAAAAATGTGACATCACAGTCGTCCAAGAAATACGAAGGTCGGGAAAAGGAGGGAGAAAGGTGGATCGCTATGAAATCTATCAGCGAGTGTGGTGTTGGATTTATGCTGGATGAGAAAATACGTTCCAAATTCCTGTTCTTGTAAACCAAAAATATTCCTCGAAAACCAATTCGGCAGTGATAGTCCGGCCGGCTTAAAAATCCGGGTCGTTCCTGCAAAAAAACCCGATAGGCGCTTGAGTCTTGAGTCCCTAGTCCGCACCCGTAAAGGAATGCCTAGCCAAAATTCTCATCAAAGCGATATTCTTCAACTTTTTTTTGCGCTCCCTCCCCGACGGAGGAAGAGGAGAGTTTTACCAAAGATTCCTTTTGTGCGCGTCTAGAAGCGCTGCTCTAACATCGACACGGATCGCTTTCTTGTAGCAGCTCTATACAACGAGGAACTCCTGGATGGCAGCATACTTAAGATTCTACTTGGAGAACCTGTTATTCGGACTAAGATCCAATGAGTTTGAACGGAGATTCTGGCGGTGTATGATTCGTTTCCCCAATGGGAGTGCAGATTTTAAGCACAAAACAATATTTTCCTCGAACTTTCTGGATATTAATAAATGTGGAGGACTTCAAGGGCAATGTGCAGACTTAAAGCAGAGTTTTGTAGTGAAAAAAAAGGAAAGAGGAAGTAAACTAAAGACGGGCTTATGAAATATAAACGAACGCTTTCCTTCTCACGAGAAATTACTCCGTTGTAAACTTTTCTGAGGAGAGATTTTAATATTGACTTATCGGAACGTTAATTTTTTCCTGTCCCCTCACTCTGGATCCCATTTTACGCATTACCAAGAAACACTTTGATTAGAAAAGCTCCAAGAGAGGTAGGTACGTAGGTAGGTGGGGAATGAGGAGCTAAAATACTCTAACACCCAATAAAAAATATTACGAGGCACCAAATTTTCGAGCTCTGAAGTTTTTTCCAGGATTTCTTTATTATTAATTCATTTTCAAGACAGTTTTTGCGATGCTATGGTTCCTATGGTTCACTTCTTCACAACACTTAGTAGACACTCTTGTAACCATATGGATGGAAACCATAGTAGTAACCGTATGGGTAAGCGCTGGGATATGAACGGACCAATGGTGATACATACGAACTGACAAGTGGAGTGATGTGCGTCTTCAATGCTGGTGTCACAATGGGGGTGACGATATTTGCGCGATTATGAACAATAGTCGAACTCTGATGGGATACAGCAGTGGGCACGCTGTGCACCAAATCACCGACCTTGGCCAAAGTGGGTTCGTGTATGATCGAAGTCGCATGTAATGCTGGTGCAAGATGAATCTCGGCAGTGTCGGCTGCTTCTATGATTTCTGGATTTTCAACTGCCTTGCCTACAACGGCGTTAACGAGCATGAGTAGTGCCACCTATTGGTAGGAGAAAATTATTTTTTTTTTATAGCTTGTAATACACATTTATTTTAGACGTTCTCAAGCTCTTACCAATTTGAACATTTTCGTTTCTTTTGTAGATTTTCTCAACGACTGAACTAATTCAAAAAAGGTCTGCACACACTGATTGTCGCAAAGCGTACTGTTGGCCACAACACAATTGGGCAAGCTTATTTATACCAAAAATCGAAACTCTAATTGGGTAGAGATCCAGGAAAAAAGAGAAGTAACCCAAGACAAAGAACGAAATTGGTTCTGCGTAAAACAAAAGCAAAAATGCAAGAATTTTGTAATGAGTTTATTTTATTCCACTACATCATCCATCTTCGTAAGGGCATCCGACTAGCTCACTCTGTTATGCGGTAGGACAAATGTCCGAAATGTGTGGTAAGGTGCTTGCAAACAAAAAGTGATTGTTCGTCCGAGCTCCTATTGCTGTTACCGCTGTTGCTGCTGTTAGCGCGATCTGCTCTGTAATGAGCGTACGTGCTAACTTGTTGCAACCCATTTTGGCTGCACTTAGGCACATGCTCGTACATACCGTCCAAACCAAGCGAATACTTCACGCATTCGACGTGCCTACCTTCAGCATCTTGCGCAAGTCTCGGTATATTGTTTTAAATTGCCTACATTACCATTGGCTTTATGTATCTGTAAATGTTGTTGACATTGTTGTTAATTATCTGCGCAGCGTTGCAAGTTCATGTGCAAGAGTATGGCTGCGAATACTGCAGCAAACATATGTACTCACTTGTCTGCTTATGTCGACTTGCGCTCGAATGCTGTTTTATTTTTAGTTTGTGGGTTTCTTGTGGTGATGTCTTGTTAAAAAAAGTAACTGTAAAGGCTGTGCTGCAATTTATCTTTGCTATAATCACAAGTAACCTTGAAGCTTACTCAGCTTCTTAGTTGGTGCGGAAATCAAGGCTGTGTGGGTAGGGAAAAGTAATCACTTTTTAGATGATCCAAGATTTCACAGCAATGTAGAGCTGCAACGGTGTTGGATAATTATGGAGGTTAGTTGATTAGTTATTGTGGTTGCCTGATCACAGTAGCCTGATCAATAACACTTAGACCTATTGATGTCTTGTGATAACACTATCACTTTATACCCGCTGAAGTGACTCTCGACCGAGCTCCGAGCTCTTAGTCCAATTCGTGGTGGCGTCCTAATGCTTCTTCTTGCAGCTGGAGAGGTTTACATTTTATTGTTAGCCACCTCCGAATAGCCGATGGTTTTGTATGAGAAGGTTTTGTTATATAACGGGTGTACCAAGTAGAGTTACTTTTTTCAATAAACTTTTTATAACAGATCACGTGTGAGTCGTGTCAAGCTGTTATGCTATTTTTGTTTAGTATTGTTTGGCATTTCGGCACGGGCCGAGCTTTCACGTTTTGTAAAGAATGTCTTTCGCGCGCTTCGCTCAACTTATTGTTAACATAATCGGCCTACTGAGCGCACTATTCGCAACACCATCACCCATCTTGAGACCCAGCATTCATTTTTGGATAATATTCCACCGAATAACTCAATACGTTCGGCATGTAGTGAAGAAAAGTTAGCTGCCGTAGCTGAGAGGGTACACGAAGACTGTGGAGAGCTGATTCGGCGCCGTTCGCAGCAACTCCGACTTACGTATGGAACGACTTGATGCATTTTACTTCGAGATCTAAAATTTAAGGCCACTCTGCAGCAAAACTGCTGCATTTGGGACGAAGAGCAATCTGAAGAGATTCGAAAGCTGCAATTTTATTCAGAAAAAAACAATGGTTTGTTGTAGTTTGTGAAGCACCATAATAACTGTCTATTTGATGCCTGAAATTGAAGCTCGTGATATCGGCGTTATTTGGTTTCAACAAGACGGCGCCACTTGCCACATAACGCATCAATCAATGGATTTATTGAGTGAACACTTCGCTCTTGAGCCGATAATAAGATCGAGTGATATCACATCGTTAGACCTTTTCCTGGGGGATATGTGAAGTCTAAAGTCCTTGCGGATGATTCCGCTTCAATTCAGGCCGTGTAGCAAAACATCACGTGTGCAAATTAGTCTTTAATCAGTCGAAATGCTCGAACGATAAAATTCCAAAGAATATTATTTCGAAGGACAATAAACATTCCCCATTAGACTTGAGTTTGATGTGTTTGTGTGTGTATAGAGAACCTTGGATCACCCTAAATTAGGCGCTTTGTAACCGCTTTAGTTATTTTCAGAGGTTTATTTACAAGTCATAAAAACACTTGGTGGGGGAGGGGTTGACATACCATGCCGAGATCGACCGCAATTAGAAAACTTAACTCAATTGCCATTATTTCGACTCCATTTTTAATTATAATATGGATGTTTGGTATGTGAACTAGGTTGATCTCGCCGCCTGCTATCGATCATACTAGTGAAGGTCGGTTTTGGTAGAAAATTTGTCGAGGAAAGCATTTATGATAGTTCTCGCTAAGCTAGCCGTTTGCAGAAATTAAAGTCAACCTTTCAGATATTGGCATCTTTGGAGTTTTCGTAGGATTTAAAGTCAACGATTTATTTGTAGTCAACGTTTTCCAGGCCAGTAAATCGTAGAATACACTCTTTTAGCGGATATGGGAAGCTCTTCCCAGCCCGACCATTCCATTGTAATGGAGGTAATCTTCTTACTCTGCTGTCACTACAACTTTCAAAGTTCAGGCTCTTACATTTCAAGGTATGAAGTCTGGAATAGACTAATCTTCTGAGCTTTCTTTAATGGAAGTACTGGCCAATGGGGGAATCTAGTAATGGATAACCAATATCAGTAAATTATTTTCGCCCTCGTTAAGTAGCTAGTGGATGAAAAATTAAGCTTTATTAATCGATTAATCGAATATCCGGGTCAAAAACTCATGCACAAGCATCGGTGTATGCAAAATCCATGATTGTTTTTTCAGTTCAGTTCTGTGCGTATCTGACGAATTGCTTCGCGCAAACGGCGTTTAACTTCTATGTTGTATTCCTTATTGACCGTACGACCTTGTGGCAAGAGTAAATGATGCACCACGCCATTCCAGTCGAAGAAAACAGTGAGCAAAACCTCTCCATTTGACGTGTTCGGGCGACCAGAACGAGCATTGTCATTGACATCTTCTCGACCTTCCTTAAGCCGGTTTTACCACAATTGAACTTGTGTTCTACTCACCAGACTCGCCAAACGCCACAGTCAACATTTCATTTCCTAAACAAAAGTTAATACAGTTTCTTAGAATCATTTTTCGAATAGTAAAAAATCGAAAAGTACACAAAAACACGACTTACCTTTTTATCTGTCAAAAACAAACTTTTTCTGAAAACTATTTTCTGATGAGACCTCGTATCTTGCAACCATGCTAGTTTGCTTATAAATCTTTTTGTATCGATTTTCAATAAAAGTTTGAATCAAGAATTATCGAAACAATCCTGTAACTTTTATCGACACTGTTTATCGGATCGCAAACCTGCGAATTTTATCGCTTGGGTAAACGCAGTTTTTACGATAATTAACAACGCACATTTCCATTTTATCAAATCCAATGAAAAATGGCACAACAGCTTAACAAATTTACTTTGACCATTTACAGGTTGGTGGAATGGTATCCATGAGGGTTGACATGGGCTTCTTAATATTTCTGGGACTCAGGAAACATTGAACGGTTGACTTCTTCGGTCACGCGATGAATACCATGGCTTTCTGACGACTAATTTATGGCTATTTCCAATTGATCTCCAACGGAATGTTGGTAGCATCCTGTTGCAAAGAATCGCAAGGCGGTTAGAATCTTCAAAAATTTTAATTGTGGTCAAACTGCAAAATTATTTAAAAGTTACAATATATTATTACCTGTTTCTCAGAAAATAATGCTGTTGTTTTCTGCCTTTTAGCTGGCTATCAAGTTGCATTCAAGTAGAAACCATCTTCAATTTCCGGCAGAAAACTTCTACCCAATCATGAAGGGTACAATACCTCCTCATCATTTTTTTCCTTTTTTTACGACGAATCCAGCGTTACCCACCTCCCGCCCAATCGACCGAAGAGCGTGTTTGAGGGAAAACGAAAAATCCAACAGACCGGTGACCAAAAAACCAGTAACAGTCCGCACTCCCCTGAACTCGAAACCGATCACGGATGGTCGCGGTTATACTTGCGAGTAGTTTACGACAACAGCGATAGCGCGTATCGTTAAAATACGTACACCGAATATTAAAATCGTTAAAATAATCGCTAAGACTTATTCGCGATCCGAAAATCGTTATAATACGATAGCAAATTCCCCTAAAGGTTTCAGTAAATCTAGAAAGAAATCCTAATGATTTGAATTTTCCAGGAATTAACTTATTAATAAACAAAATAATGTATCCATATACATATATGGATACAATCCCAACTGCGATTTGCAGTCGAATTTCTTAATATTCGGCATCATATATTGTGGCGAAAAAAGAGAAATCACGATATCTACAGCATGTTCTAGAGCGTGTAAGTTGAATATGCGTTATCGATAATATTTCGTAAAAACTTTCTTGATACTTATTCGGGCAATCTGTAGGTATATAGCAGCGGAGGCAAATACTGCAGTGGCCAATTACAAATCAAACTGTTTTGCTGATAATGCTGCTTTAAAATGAGAAGAGAAGATTTAATTATTTACAATTAAAACATTGTACTACAAATTTTGGTTACGGTTATTTAACAATCCAGTTATCGAACACGAAGGATTTGGGATATCATGAGACTTTTTTAGCAAAAGTTATCATAATACAAAATTTACGACTCTTAGTAATATACTTTTATTTAAGTTTTGAATGCAATCGGTTGGGATAACCTTAACCTTTTTAATGAAATTGCTATTATGTATGTATGTACAACTCCATTTCAAAATGTATAGGCATTACATAATTTTATATCTTTTCAATTATGCGAAAACACATTAAGTCGGAATAAGCAAATTTACTGTCAAATGTCTCACTAAATGGCAACTGTTCATAGCAATATTAAGCACCGGCAACACTGTTTGTCGACAAAGCAGTTGAAGCTTGATTGTTGGCTTCTTGTGCTTGTCGGGCGTTTAGCACATTTATTTCATTTAAATTAAATAATAAATGACATTTAAGAAGCGCTAGACATTGAACCTTGTGTCGTTGCTAAATTAATTTATTAGAAATTTATGTGAAATTACCAGTTGCAATCATATATTGTGAAATGAGTTCTGTCGGCACGGTGAGTAGTAGCGGCATTGTAAACAAACAGCTGTGCATATGCACTGCTTTATCTACCGTTTACATTAGGTGCATCTCAAACTGTTCGTTGTTACTTTACAGCTACGGGATTTTCAAACATTAGGCTGCCTGGATCAGTTAAAATGTGCATTGGGCGCTCGTGTATATTTGGACTTGGAATGTGGTAAATATAATTTAAGCTTTTGTTATTAAAAAAAACACATTAGCCAAAATTATTATTATTGTAGCTGTTGGTTAAGTTCATGACTCGATGCCGACTGGCAATGCTAGCCTTGTTTTGAATAGAACTAAACTTGACCACAGCTGCCGTTTGAGCCGAAATGTACCAATTTTAATAGCGTTAAAAGTGCGCAGTTAGTCATACAACCATTCAAAGTAAGTAAAGTCAAGGGAAGCAGGCACAGCCTGTTCGTATTGCGCCAAGGCTTTTGAAATAACCGGAAGTGACTGTTCACTCTTATGATTGGCAATACTTACTTACATTTGCGCATAATTAGTACTGTGCTCGCCGAAAAGGAATTTATGTATATGTATACAAAATTAAAAAATTCAATCAAAATAATTATACAATTGCTGCAACAACAAAAATATCTGTTTAACCTATAATCCATTTATTTCCACAGATAAGCGTGTAACAAACTTGGAAAAGTTTTATGACTCGGATTTGAATTTAATATACTTACAAGGCAAACGAACTGATACCATTGTCACTTTTGTACCGGTTCTATCGAGTCAACCGTTAAATTTTATTGAAATTGAAAAAATTCAGAAAAAGCTATCAACGGATGCGTCGAAAAGGTGATATAATATGCAATTAACACTATTTGATTTAAGAAAAACTTAATTCTAATTACTCCTACTTGCAGCTGCAACATTACGCTGGCTATATGTGATACGTCATCAAATATTTTATATTATCAAATAACAACGGGTGTGGTGAATAAAGAATAAAAGAACTCAAAAATTAAGAAGTAGTTTATTACAACTTAAAAGGGATTGCGGAGGGGAGAAAAAAATATTTTTTAAAAAATATGGTGGGTACATAACGAATCAAATATTCATTACCTAGTAAGTTTATTTTCATTTTTCAAATTTCGATTTGGCGCTTAGGTCAATAAATGCCACAATCTCTTAAAATCAAAACTGCACATTTTTGTTGGTGTTAATATGAATCACTCGTTTAAATTTTATTAAATAGCAATGAAAATTGGATTTTCTTAATTGTTACAATTTCAATGAACTTTTAATATATTGTATAATAATAAATGTATGTATGTATTTACATTTATAATTCCGAAATTATGCAAGACAACTCCTTTTTCTTGTATTTAAAAGGATACAATTATACTTTTTATTATTAATTTAATAATCTTAATGTAAAAATACTTTTTTTGTTTGTATTCATATATTTAAGATTATGAATGTATGTCTGTATGTATATAAATAGTACAATGAACGTACAAAATATTTATGGTTTTTAACGCATATGAATTTTATACATAATTACTTTGCTGTTGTTGTTATACAACCCTGGTATATATAATAATTTTAGCACTTGGAAATACACTTTGTGTGAGGTTTCTATACTTTCTTGGACAATTCATATGCAGTTAGGCACATAAAATGTTATTTAATCTCAAATTATATTCATATTTATTTTGAAATTAATTACATATTTAATGTTTTTTTTTATCATTAATGGGTGTCTAAAATTGTCTTGTATGCAGCGCTTTGAAATATCAAAAAAAAAAGTCGAATAAAAGAAAATGTGTACCAAATGTATGTATGTATGTAAGTATATTTAGATTTTGAGCAACTTTTAATAAACTACTATATTTGTTTTTTTTTTTTTTTTTGTTTTGTTTTAGACTTGAACGACCTGACCCTCTATTGCTCTTCCAATTTTTCAACATGGCAGATTGAGCCGAATTGTGATGGTTAAAAATCAACGCTCATCGAAAAATTCAAATAATAGAAAGGCAGCAATTATCTGAAAGAAATCAATATTGTATACTATGCAAAGCGCAATATTTTTTGTTTAAAATGATATTTTAATGATGCCATATTGTTTAAATTTGGGAAATAAAATCATTATCTCTACTCTAGTAAAAACAAAAATAGTGAACTGGTAAATAGAATAACAAATAAGAAATATAAGGAATTGAATTTTAAATGATTAACAAAACTCAAAAGAGAAAAAAAGCAACAAAATATGCTATAAAAATTATATATGTATGTAAATATTAAAATATTATTATTAAAAAATTTGAAAAAAATAAAATACTATATAAAAAATAAAAAAAAATATTAAAAATGATTAAAAATAATATTAAAAAAAAATAAAAAAAACGCTGAAAACCATTAATTAAATTTAAAAAAAAAATTAGAATTAAATAATAATAAAACTTTATTAAGCACAAAAACGGTAAACTGGTTTAAAACGTTTAAGAATAATACTAAACAAAAGCAACAATAGTTAATAACAATACACAAAATTGCAGGTAAATATTAAAACGGAAACGAAAGACAAAAATTTAATAGATGAACATTGGTTTTTAGTAATAATTAATTACGAAAAAACTCAAGTGTAACAAATTAAATTAAAAAAATATGTAATAAGTTTGTAAACACAAAATTTATATTCCCTTTTGGCTTACAAAAAAAAACACATAAAAAAACAAAACATAAAAAAAAATAATTTATAAGAATGCAAAAAGAGCATTTGACAAAAAAAAAAAATTATCAAAAACTTTAAAGGGATATTTGCGAAGTTTTTAAACATTAATTAATTTTTATAAAAAAGTAATAATTTCGAATAATAATATTAATACAAAAAACATTGATTAAAAAACTCAGAACATACTCGAAAATAGTGTGAGGAATTTGTAAGAAGAAAATATTGAAAATAAAGAAATAATTTAAAACTATTACAGTTCAAAAACAGTAAATAGAAAAAGGAGAATAAATTTTGAATAAAAAATATATAATTATACAAAAAATAGTTAAGCTGAAAAATTTTCATAAAAAAACAAAAAGGGAAATTCTAAAAAAAAGTATTAAATTCAAACAAAAACTTTTGTACAAATAAATAATAATAATAACAAAAAGTGATAACAAAATATAATGTATTTAACGAAAATTTTATAAAAATAAAATAAACAGCGATTTATAAAAAAATATATGTATACATATATATAAAGATGATAATTTGTGCATAATAAATATGCAATCATATAAAAAGGAATTAGTTGAAAAAAATTTTTGAAAGGAAAAAGCAAATATAAAGTTATTAAAATTCAACAAATGTACTTTTATTCAACAATAATAAAAAAAGCAAAATAAATGTGATATACGTAGGAGAGTTAAGAAAAATAATGATTAAAAAAAATATAATAACTTTTCAATCATATATATGTAATAAAAATACGATTAGCTGGAAATTGTCAGGAAATCCAAGAAAAAACTCATTGGATATTTAAAGAATATATTAAATGAGAAAAAAATAATTCTACAAATAGCAAATAGAAATTCGCTGAAAAAGTACCAAATTGATGTCATGTATGAGGAGCTTATAAAAATTAAGAAAAAAAATTTATTAGAATTATACTAAAAATTTAAACCATAAAAAGAATATTTTTAATATTTAAACAATAAAAAACATTATTTTTTTCACCGTAACAGTAATCTGTTGAAAACGCAATTAAAACTTAATATTTTTGAAAACATTAAAAAGAATTTAAATTGTAAATAGTAAATAAAAAATAAAGAAAGATATAAAATTTAAATAAATAATAATACCAAAAGCAAATTATAACAAAAAATTATTGAAAAATTCTACAAATATAAAAATAATTCATAAAATAATAATAAATAAAAATAAAATATAGAAATAATTTAACAATAAAAATTAAAAGAACTAAACGAAGAAGTTAATTAAAAAATCCCTAAAACTCAATTAAAAAAGATTTTTTTTTAAATACCAATTAAAAGTTTTATTTAAAACATTTTTTAACCAACAAAACAGTAAGCAAACTCAAATAAGTTTTTGTGATATTTAAAAAAAAATTAAATTAAATTAATTTAAAAAAGGAATGGTAAACAAAAAAATTAAGTATTAAATTTAAACAAATAATAATAAACATAAAAATTTTAAAAGAACAGTAATCACAAATTAAATGTCATTCATTCATTGTATAATACCACAATTTATAAAAATAGTTAATAAAATAAAAAATAATTTAACTGTAAAAAATAATAATAAATATTAACAAAGGAATGAAAAATTTTGTTAATCACCTTAAAAATTTATTTATTTAATTTTTAATTTTTGTTTGAAAATATTACATCAAAGTTTTAACAGTAAAAAATAATAATAAAGAAATAATTAAAAATGATACTGAAACATTCTTTAATTACCAAAACAGTAATCTAGTGAAAACTCATATGAAAAATCTTTAAATTAAAAAAAAAAAACTAAAAACTAATGACCAATATTGAATATAAAGTATTAGCTCTGGATAAACAAAAACAAAATTGAAAATGTATTAAGTCTAAGCAAAAAATATTAAACAAATTAAATGACAAAACAAAATTATTAATAATTATTCAAGGTTATAAAAAAATAAAAAAAAAATTTTATACTAAATATTAATTTAAGAATAAATCCAATTTATATTTAAAAAGGAATGATAAAGTTTTTTAATCACTAAAATTCAATTAAAACTTTTTTATTTTGGAAAATATTAAGTAATATTAAAAATTTTAAAATAGTAAAGTTAAAAATTTTAAAATAGTAAAAAAAAAAATTTAGCTAAAAATTCATGAAAAAAACAATAAACATAAATTTTAAAATTGAACAATTATTATCTTACTACGAAAAGCAACAAATTTGATGGTTTATACAAAGGTTTATTTTTAATCGAAAAATTGAATAAAATTAATTAAACATATTAAAAATTCCAAAAGTAAAATATAACGGTACAAAAATCGTTAAGTAAAATAAATAATAAATTATAATTCCTTAATAATAAGCCAATTAAATCAAATTAATTAAATATACTACAATTATAATAGTAAATAACAGTTAATTAAAAAATAAATAAAAACGAAAAAAATTATAATATGAAATAAAATTGAAAACAAAAAATAAAATAGAAAAAATTAAATTAAATACAAAAAAATGTAAATAAAATTAAAAAAAAAAATTAAAAAATATAACCCAAATATTAAATTAAATACAAATAAATAGTTCAATTACAAAAAAATTAAATGAAATTAAAAAAAAAAAGAACAAATTAAAAAAAAAACTCAAAAAACTAAATTAAATACAAAAAATTATATGAAAATATAACAAAAAAAAAAAATTAAATTAAATACAACAAAATAAAGAACAAAAACAAAGATAAAATAAAAATTAAAAAAATCGAAACGGCGTGTAAATTTTTCAAAGCTTATTAAATACAAACCAACTCATTAACTGCTACATACGAGTACATAATTGTGATGCTTTCATAGTTCTGTTCAGCACAAAGCACTTCTGCCCACTCAACTTTGAGCTATGCAAAAATGTTGCTGTCCTGTTTAATAATTGTATCTTCCACGCTTTTTACTGCTGTCAACAGACCTAAACCGGAAAATGGTCGAACGATCAGATTGTCGCATTGCCAATGCACATTGCAGATAAAAGTTATTTCTTCTCTATAAGTGATTTCGATTGGTTCACTAAACCACTACTCGCTGCGACATGAGTAACACCACTACTCTCCGATGGGACTTTGGGGGAGAATATGGATAGCGGTCGTTTCATATTAGGTCAAGTAAAAAGTTCGTTCGGTTTTTATGTGTGGCCAAGACCGGATTGACGGTCCGGAAGGTTTTGCTGCGTGTTCGGTGGGATTTGCAAGGAACCATCTACTATGAGCCGAATTGTGTTCCATCAGGACAACGCCAGGCCACACACGTCTTTGGTGACGCGGCAGAAGCTCCAGGAGCTCGGATGGGAGGTCCTAATGCATCCACCTTAAGGTCCGGACCTGTGATTACCAAGTGATTACCATATTTTCCTATCCATGGCGCACGCGCTTAATGGTGAGAAGTTGGCCTCAAGAGAGGCCTGACAAAATTGGCTCACCAAGTTTTTTGCCAATAGGGTTGCAGCCTTCTACGAGAGGTGTATAATGAAGTTGGCATCGGCACATATTTGACTTAAAGCGGACAAATGTACACAAAGTTATCACATTTTGAAAAATCTATTAAAAAAACCGAACGAACCTTTTACTTGACCTAATAAATCGTTACACACAATCAGTCACCTACAATATTAA